ATTCCTGCTCAAGTGAAAACAGAGACTTTCTTCTCTGCTTTCACATTCCACATAGACACAAATCTACACTACAAGCTGTAATATCAAATGCCCTTTTATTGCAATGATAATATGTCATAGTTGCAGGACATCGAACATTGATTTGCACAATCTTCTGATCATTTTGCAATGTCTTAACGTTAGACATAGCTTTAAAGCATTTTCTCCACTGAGAAAAAGCAAAATTTGGAAGACCTTCTGAATTATCTTAGTGAATATTTGCTTGCCTGTACACTGGATTTACAGTACAAGATGCCAAGATAAATCTAAATTAATAAAGCAAGTATTCAGTACTGTTAGTTATACTTTTACATAAGTTTCTGGCATTTTACATTGCAGCAGTTTTTAGCTACATGGTTGCCTGAAACAAAACCTACCAAAATTAAATATATTTAATATTCAATATTAATTATGTATTAATATATACATTTAATGCAAGCATTATCACTGGAATATAGAAATTGGTATAGTGGAAGTTTTTAGCTGAAAAGCAGCTAAACTAGAAAACATTTTCATGAGGACCTTTGAAATTATTTTCATTCTATAATCTTATTTTAAATTGGAGACATTACTAGACAAGATCAAAACAAAATATGCAAGTACTGCGCAGACAGTAATACACAGATGAAAATCAGAACATTGAGTACAATTGTCCAAAGTAATCAGAGAACCAAATAAGTATTCACTAAAGTGTCTATTATTGAAACTCAGTGAAATGTACACTCTTTAGTGACTTAAATTCTTTAAAAATGGTTAATGCTTCTAAATCACGTAGGCACTTCTGAAATTTTTCACTTCATAGCAAAATAATTCTCAAAGGTCTTAGGTTCTAATATCATCATCCATCCTCGCCAGAAACATGTCCCTATGTTTTATCTTTTTACCCAATGTAGGAGAGAAGAATGCTGAATGAATCAATGGGCAGGTCTGAAAAAGGCCATCTAATTTTTCTTTAACTAGTTCCTTGAATGATTATATTTTTGTTGATTTCAAATATTAGACCCAGTGATTATAGTTAAAACACTTGCTCCCAATTTTACCAGTATTCCCTATTATAGTTCCTCTACAGGAAGGTCATGTATATACAAAAAGAGAAAGGATAGTTACCAGCCTTTCAAAATGGCCTCCTTCATTTTACTATAAGGTGAGCAGTTTGAAATGCTCTTTCTTTTGGGGTACTAAGGGCTGGATCAACACTTACAGGTAATTAGAGGGGAAAATAATATGGGATGTTGCATGAACTGCAGTACAGCACTTAAAAGAAAACAACTGCTTTTGAGCATACTAAAAAAACCCTGTCTTCTCAGTTACAGGGGACTTAAACTTTCCATGATCTTTAGACTCCAATAATGGACACCAGGAATTTAAAGTCCAGTGCTGAGAACCTGTGGAGATTTTTTTAGACTGTATTTTCTTTTTTATGTGAGAATTTCTTTGATATACCATTGAAAGCATTAGCTAAAGACTCGCAGCTGTTATAAACACACACTGCTCGTCAGAAGTCAGTGCAGCTATAGTTATATTTCTATCAGCTGTGGATCTAGGTCAACTCTTCTGTGGTTCTGTACAGAATGAAAACACCATAAATAAGAAATGACAACCACTATGCAGCAATGCAATCAGAAAATTAATGTTGTTCAAAACAAGCAAACAAAAAGCTTCTATATCACCTCTGAATAACACACAAGATTTGATGCTGACTCGGAGAATCAGCGATTCGGACGTAGACACACCTTTAAATGTTTTTTCTACATACCTTGTGGTACCAGTGCAGCTCATGAATGCTGTGATGCTGGGGCAGATGGAGCATCCCACAGGAGTTGGGGTGGGGGAGGGCACGTGCTCGACAGTGAACCCAGAAGTGGACTGGAAGTATGGGCTGCCCCCCCATGCCCCTCCAGACCCAGGTGCCCCCACAGACCCAGGAGGCACTAGTTGCCGAGCCAGGGGGGGGCAGCGTACTCTTCGATGGACCCAGAAGTGGACCAGAAGTGCTTCTACTCTGGTGGTTACTCTCCAGGATTGTGGGGACCTATTTTCAAATCCCACCTCTTTCATATTTGAAGAAAGCACTTGGACTTGACTCTCCTACAGTCCAGGAGAGTGCCCTAATCCTCAGGCCTTAGAGTTAACCTTCTGGCTTAACGAACAGTTTATTAGTTACAGCAGGAGAGCCTACATTTAGAGCACCCAGTAGTTTGGTGGTCCAAGCTTTCTCCTGCAATGTACTCCAGAGCAGGCAGGGTGGGAATGTGACAATAGATATCACAGGTGATGATAGGCTTAATCCCTCTCCTTGGCATTTCCTACTGGCTAGCTTTTGTGGATCCTGGCCCAGTTTCTATAAACCCAGTTTTAGTCATCTGCCACCATGCACTGTACTGGATGTCTAGCATTGAGGACTCTAGCAGGTAGCAAGTTTTTTTAGGACTCCTATGACTGGGTCCTCCAGTTACCTTTGGCTAAGACCTCAGGTCTCATGCTGTCTTCTCCCTTTGCACTACTGAGGAGGTTCTTTATACCAGAACCATATTTATTTAGCACTTTTGTACTACAAGCAGTAGTTAAAACTAAAAAAAGATGAGGACCTCACACTGCATTAGCCAAGGAGATAGTAGCTTAGAAGAGCTGCTTCCTCAAACCTTGAAGAGATGAGTGATCTTTTCTTCTTCTTTTAGCATATAGGGAGCTGCATTCCTTCCTGCCTGTGGCTATGTATGCCCCAAACCCTCCCATTTACTTTTGACAGAGGGGTAAATATTTATTCTGCCCACCTCCCCCTGAGACCTCCTTCTGGAGCTGCTTCTGCTACAGCTCACCCAGCTCTGCCTATACAGGGCTTGCTTGTATTAACTCAGTTCTCTTTCTTTCTAAAATACTGATCAAAGGAAGCTAGAAACTAGCTTGTTTTGAAGAGGACTCTCCTTTTTATTGTCAAGAATCTGTAAGGGTATCATCAAGATCTCCCTAGGGCAGAGGTGAGCAATTATTTTGGGCAGAGGGCCACTTACTGAGTTTTGGCAAGCCATCAAGGGCTGCATGACAGGCAGCCAGAGGCAGATAATTATTCATTTTCTGAATTTTTTAGGGGCCCCACAGGCCAGATAGAATGGCCTTGAGGGCCACATCTGGCCTGCGGGCTGCATTTTGCCCACCCCTGCCCTAGGGAGTGGTGCAAAGAAGCATGGCAAGTCTGTTCTGTGTGCTTGGTGAGCCTACAGAATGCAATATAGCTGGTCTCAGAGGCAAGTAAGTGCATGCCAAAAGCTGTGTTTCAGGTGCTTCCCTAAGGGCAGCTATATTCCATGTTTTGGTAGGGTATCATGCACACAGTAGACATGCTGTGTTCCACTGTAGACAGGTTTCCACTGTGGTGTTCTGTAACATGGTCATTTGATAGTATTATCCTCTAAATATCCCTCAAGGTGAAATTCAGCAGCCATGTGGCATTTCTCTTCTCTTCCCTTGGTCCCTAACAAAATGTTTATTGCGCTGTACAGTTGTAAAACTTTTTATTAGGGTAAAGTCATTTACAGAGAAGTACTACAGTCTGCTGACCAGGTCTTGTGCCTTCATTTTCTCATGAAGAATAATTATGTTTCTTTAGTTGCTTTAGTACCTGAGGTGTATACGCCAGTTTTTTTTACTGTGAGTTCAAAATTCTATAAATACACTGCTAAAAGTTGTTCAAATGGGAAAACAAGATAAATGCTCTGTTGAATAAGAGCCTGGTGTTTCCATACATGGTTTTAGCTTTCATTGTTCCTAATAGTGCATGTACAGGCCAATTGGGGAAAGGATTATAGCTAAGTTACACAAAGAGATTTAGGGCCCTGATACACATTTAACTTAAAGCTGGATAGAAATCTGTTATAGAGTTGGTTGCACAGTTTTAAGCACTAAATTTATAGCTGGTTGGCTCTTTATAGCTGGATAGTCATTATTATTGTGTGATAATTACTTTGCATGTGTGGCTGTTCTTAATTTGCATATGTGACACGTTTAAATTTTATTGCTTGGTTAACCAGTTAATTGCCTAATATATGTCATGTAGCAGGGGCCTCTGCCTCTTGAAGTGCAGCTCAGGAAGATCCTGCTTATATGGTTGAGACTTGTCCACCCTGTACAGGCAGTGGGTCACAGCCCTTGCGGATATGAGCGCACCCTGCCCATACCCTCTGTACACTACCAGCAGGCATGGTACAGATCTGGCACTGTGCCAGTAAGGCTGCTCCAGGTTCACTTTTCTGAGCCTGCCTCAATCTCCAGAGTGGCTGAGAACAAGCATAAAAGGACAAGCCTGGAGTAGTCTCACTTACGTACTTTTGGGTTTGGACCATGTGGGTATAAAGAGGCAGGGCCTGGGTAGGACATAAGCATTGTGCCTAGGCCTTAGTGCTGAGACCTGCTACTGCATGGGTGTAGACAAGCCCTGTACAGGAAGAACATAGGCATGTAAGAATATCTGCATAGGCATCTGTGTAGCACTGGGAAGTGCTGCACTGACATATCTTGTCTGTATTTCATGAACTAGAAGTAGTGTAGTCACCTTAGTGTGGCACTAGGAACATGTCAGTTGGCTCTTTCCAAAATGCAGAGCCAATGTGCCCACTGCTATACTACACTATATCTGGCTTGGGAAGTAATATGTAGAGTGGTAGGGTGTGCCTACAGGTACCATAGCTAAATAGTACGGATATATCCTAACATCCAAATCCTGTATCATTAGCTTTTAACATTAACATTTCCATTGTTATGATGCCCCTTCACCTTAGCCTTAAGGCTGAGTCACAGAAGGTAGAAAGGAGAAGAATCTACCCAACTTTTGTGTTGTTGTTTTTATGGGCACTCATGTAGGGTGCGACAGGATAGCACTTAAGCACCTAAGAATTACTTATGCAAATATGATTTGGGCCTAAGTGTTTACTAGTAAAGTTCCCTAGTTATCTACAGTGCTGCTACTGCTAAAGCCTGAGAGAGTTGCATCTTGACAGTACTAAGGTCATTTGGGATTCATGAGCTAGGCTGAAGTCCCCTGAGATACCTGAATCCATCAATCATCTTTTAGTATCTCGAACACACACCAACATCAGTGAGTTTAGCACAAAGCATAGAAGTCATATTTACTCTCCTCACTGGAGAAGAAGGTGCTGCTAATATTGTCCATGTTTTACAAGGAAGTCTACAGGTTACTTTAGATTTGTTCACCCAAGAAGTGACAGAGCTAGGTTCTATTTTTTTCTTACCTTTACACTTAGGTGTGTGTTAGGGGAGAATTAGAGAAATTCTTTACCTGTCTGTGAAAGAATCCCCTTCCAGCCTCCTCCCTCTCTTTGGGGGTAGTATGCTCCCCACCATGTCTATCACCCTGGTTACCAACTTGCTGTCTACATGACTGACTTCAGGTAAGAGGGAGTAGACCTAGCCTCATGACCTGGAGGCAGGGGCTTGAGCCTAGATCAAGGTGTGATTCTTTTCAAATTGATTGGCTGGCATAAAACAACACCTGGCCTTGATTGGACCTAGCAGGTGAGGTCAGAATGGCTATTTAAGAGGTCCCTTCCAGGAAGAAGCAGGTGGACATTTTAAGACACACACTGAGCAGCCTGGACTTCAGAAGCCTTCTCTCATACTCAGGATCTGGAAGTGAGTAACTTACCAGAAACCTAACTAGGAATCTAGTTGATAGTAAAGGTGGACAAGCCACTCAGATTTGCTCAAGCTGGTTTTCTTTCTATATTTTGCTATTGGTATTCCTTCCCATCCATCTTTAATCAATAAATCTATCTGTTTTAGCATGCCTTACTGTGTGGGCTTAAAAGGGAAGGGGCCTGCTAAGGTGGGCTCAGCTATTTTACTCTACTCCCACATGGGAGGCTGATGGTGAGTATTCCTGTTAATAGAAGCACCCCAAAATCACAAAGTCTACAGGGCCTGTGTACCCCGGTGGGCACAAAGCCCATGCAATGACCAGACCCTGGGTGGTGGCGGTGGTTACCTGAGGCTTGTGAATGTGCTCTAGGAAAGGGGTCAGCCAGATGTGAGGCAGCGAGCCTGATCTTCTCCCCCCCGCCCAAGTCTGCCTGCCTGCCTGAGCTGTGCAGGGGCCTCAGTGGCTGTGGTGCCCCCTGGGACTGCCCGAGCCGGGTGTCTGTAGACAGGTGCTGCCTGGATGGGGGGGGAGGGCATCAGCTCCCCACCCTGCAGCTCAGGGACTGCTCTGCCCACTAGCAGCTTCGACATGGGTGTACATGACATGGCAGTTTACTTCACCTTAAATTGAAGTGGTGTTTTTAAAAAAAACACTGCTTTAGTTTAGGAAGAATTAAACCCCCTTGTCATGTACAAACGCTGTAGTAGAGCAGACCTGGTAGAATTGGTGGTACTGGGGAAGGGAGTAACATGAAAAGGAATATAAAGTCCAGGTGTTGTTTAAAACAACAATGCCACTTTTAAGCCACTTTCTTTTCTTTTCTAAAAATAAAGTTTTGTAGATCATTTTTGAACAAAGCTAAAAGGACTGATACTCATTAATCTACACATTTGCTGTCTAGTAGGAGACAGACAGTAGTTTGGAGCTCTTCTGAATGTTGTGATTCACTGTTGGGTTTTTTGACTTGGCTGGTACGATCAACTGTTTCTGCAGTACAGACCTACCACATACATCTTAACAAATGGCCACTGCTGAATCATGTAGTGTTCTTAAGAGATTTATGTATTCTCTAGTATAAATCTGAAATTCTGTAGATAAATATTTGAATTAAATGCCACCATTAGGGTTCTATTTTCCAACTGCATTCACTTCATACATAAAGTGAATGATCTTCCCAGCTTCCTATTGGTGTTGTCATGTGTCCATTTCACATTTCATAGATTCATAGATGTTAGGGTCGGAAGGGACCTCAATAGATCATTGAGTCCGACCCCCTGCATAAGCAGGAAAGAGCACCCAGAATTGCACGCAGTACTCCAACTGCGGTCTGACCAGCGCCTGATAGAGGGGAAGTATCACCTCCTTGGACCTATTTGTCATGCATCTGCTGATGCACGATAAAGTGCCATTGGCTTTTTTGATGGCTTTGTCACACTG